TAAGAAAAATAAAGCAAGAGCGGTTATACAATCATGGGATGCAACTGCCCCCCACTATGCTCTTCTCTTGTATCTTTCTTTCAAATGTTTCTTTTCCCTCTTTTATAAATCATAAAACTTTACATTAACCCGTCACCACTTGTTAAAAAAACAACACACATTAGAAATGTTTGTATTTTAAATAAATATGTACATGAGATTATTAGTAGTCTTTGGCTCTTTTCAGAGTAGTTTGAATATATAGGTTTTAAAGTTTAAATTTGAATGTTTTTTAGGTTTAGATTTTTTTAAAAATTTGATTTTACCTATTAGTTTATTTTTATCAATATTAAATAGTTTAATAAACTTAATTTTAAATATTCAAAGAAAATATTATATTTGAAAATATTTTTTTATATAAAAAAAACACATTACTATTTGAATTACAATAAACACACATTTTATTACAATTTTTTTTTAATATTTTTCTCTAACTTATTGTTACAATAATTTTGATATGGTTATACTTTTTCTTAAACTATCATCTCACCTAAGAATTTATTGATTTTTTTTTCTTATCGTACCAAATTAGATTTTTTCATAGGTAATTGAATTATTTAAACTAATTTAAATGTTAATTGTATTTTAATTAAGTTTAAATTTAATATATAATTTTATTCCTTAATGCACAGGTAATACATTCTAGTATTCTAAGTAATCAATCATGAAGATAAAGGAAAAAAGTAGGAGAAAATACAATTGCTAGAATTTATATTTTCAAGGAGAATGTAAAACATTTAAGTGTAGTAAAAATGTAAAAAATATTGATAATTTTATTTTTTTATTAAAAGTTTATTTATTTAGACATATTATTAAAAATTTAATTATATTATTTTTATTATATCATACAGATAAGTAGACTAATTCATCAAATTTAACAAATTTTTTTATAAGTTTAAGTCCAATCTTTTAATGAAGTTTAAATTTAATATACAATTGTATTCCTTAATGCATAGATAACGCATTATAATATTCTGAAAATCAATCATGAAGATGAAGAAAAAAAAAAAGAAGGAAAAGATGCAATTACTATAGTTTCTATTTTCAAAGAGAACAAAAAACATTTAAGTATAACAAAAATGTCAAAAATATTAATAATTTTATTTTTTTATTATTATAAATTTATTTATTTAGTTATATATATTATTAAAAATATAATTATATTATTTTTATTATATTATATAGATAAATAAACTAATTTATCAGACTTAACAAATTTTTTATAAGCTTAAGTCTAATTTTTTAAATAAATAACTTTTTAAAAAAATTTAAACATGATATTTTTATTAAATAAGTCATGTTGAACTGAATTTTAATCAAACTACATCATAAACTCTTATTTAAAGTTTAACTTTTTTTTTTTTTTACTTTTCACGACAGTTTTTTTATTTTAATATGTTTGATTTAATGTTTAATATTATACCTATTCTTCTAGGTACTTATGACTATATGAGTATTGATGGAATTTTAGAACAATATTATTGATTTTTCATCCGATAAAAGATGCACCATGTGCTGAAAATTTTAAGATATAATTCAGTTACTGCTACAAATGTATTAGACTTTGGTGACAATAAGAAATCGATCAGTTGTATAATAATCATTTATATTATTAATAGGATTTATCTTATTTGGTATATATATATATATATATAAATATATATTGTTAATTAATAACTCATTTTTATTTTATTTTTTAAAAATACATGGAAGAAGATAAGTTGGTCCCTCCTAAACTCTTATGTCGGCAGTGATAAAGTGTCACTTGTTATTGCAATTATTTTGTATGAGATGATGAAATTAAATATGTAAAATGCAAGTGAGATTATCAACGTAACAATAAATAGATATTTATGGTCGTGCTTATCTTAATAGATTGGAAACCATTTTAACTTGATAGTGGACACTTATTTGATTTATGGTCGACAGGAAACTGTAATTAATTAGACAAAGGGGTGGTAACTTTTTGAATTTTAAAAGTTGATCAATCCATTGATTATTACTTACATTACGTTCATTATAATTCTTAATTAACAGTTCATCAATTATTGAGTTAAATTAATTACTGATGAGAAAATATCAAGGAAAGAGCAGTTAAAATTAAGGGTGTGAAACCGTTTCTTTAGAAAACATTACTTATTAATCTACATACTTAATTAACATGGTGGGGTACAACAAGGACAATAAATATGCATCGATCTATTATACAATCATATAGTATAATGGTTACAATATTATCAAAATATGAGTGAGCTGAAAAGGTGACGAGAGTGAATATTACCTTTGCATATTACTTCAACTTATACAATACTAAATCATTTGAAACTCTTCCTTCAATAAAGTATTGAGCCATTTGAAGGTATAAACACAAGTGATGAGTCACGAGTGGATGGTGTCATGACTCATGAGTGCCATGATCCTCTCTGAATAATAATAACTCTTTCAAACACATGCTTCTTATTACCCGTTAGAGACAATAGTTGGTTAGAATCATAGATTGAAAGATATGAATTTGCTTCATTTAGTTGTTCCACCGTTTCACATAAGAAAAATAAAGCAAGTGCTTATTAAGTACAGTAAAAGGTTGTGGACAGTGGTATCGGAAATTTGAGCACTCAGCTACACAACTATAGAAAATACCAAGGAATGACGTACGAATGAAAAGTTCTGTTTTTGTTTTTGTGGAACATATTTAGTAAGAATCATTGTTATTTTAATAATTAAAATATAAATGTAGAATTGCATCTATATATGAATATTTAATATTAAAATTCATGAGAAAATTGAAATATATCACTATTATTTAATTTAAATGGATAATTAATACATTCATGAATTAAAATAATATTAATCATCTATATATAATTACTAGTGTGATGTGACCTGTGATACTAAGCATGTTATTATATTTAAAATTGTGAAATTAATAGTTATTCCAATTTATGTTTATTACATATTATTTATAATATATCGAATATGATCAAATTCTTAAATAGTGAAAGAGATTATACTTTCTGGCTATAATATTGAGCCTTTATTTTGTATGTTTGGTTGGTAGAGTTGGAGTAAAGAAAAACCCAAACTGAGTTTGACCGAAACAAACCCACATTGACTATTTTTCGGGTCGGTTTCGAGTTATTGCTCACCCTATCAAATTTTATAACTTCTTGACTACTAAAAAAAAGGAACTTCAAAAATTAATTTTAACACATCATCAACAAAGTTCTACATATATATTCCTAGGGTAGATTGACATATATATACACGAACCTCTTTGAATATTTTCAAATAATTCTGATATTAACATATTAATTTAACTTTAAAATGAAGGATATAAAGGATACACAGGAAAGAAAAAAAAAACTGAAGAGTACGGTTGAGAAGATCATAGCAACTTTTATCTTAACAATTATACATATTGGGTCGTCTAATAAGTGGTTAGTCTTTCAGTTGATATTGTAAAAACACTAGCCAGTTCACAAGTAAAACACAGTGCATCAAAGGGGGTTACTAAGTCCACAAGATGAGTTAAATTTAAGAGATTAATCTTCAATTAGGTGAGAGAATTTTAATATAACTGAGTCCTTATTAAACTTTTTATTCTATTTGATGTAACATTCTTAATATCATTGTTTCATTTAAAGGTCCATGTCAATAATTTTTACTATACTAACATTCATTTTGATGATAGTTATTTTCTTTTTAATGACTTTACTCATCTATTAATATTTGATTTGAACCTTAATAATTTTTTTTAGTTCAACCTTTAATAAAAACACTAATTATTCAAACTCAAATATATGAGAAGAAGCTAACATCCCAATTTAAAAGACTAATTTATTAGGAGAACTTCAAAATTTAAGTACCATGTGCTAAACTTCTCATGTATTCTAATTTTAAAAAAAAAAAAAAAAGTAAGTAAGTAAGTTGATTATTTGCCTACAAGGGAGACAGTAGCCGAAATTATATATGAATGAGGCGTACGTGCAACTATTAAGTAGCTTTCTTTGAAGGATCCTTAAGAGTAGATATTGAAGATTTGCTTGCTATAAAAGCAATGATGGAATAATGCAGTGTAACACTAGCAGACGGTGATTGGACGAATTTACTAGATCAAGCCATCTACCCCTACTTGCTTTACATCGACCCCGTAAGGTGCAAGTTTAATTTATGCCAATTCATGGTATTCACTGAAATAATTATAACAGTTTTCTCTCCAATGAAGTGTATTTCAAGAAAATACACTATTTATTAAAAGAAGTAGTGAAATTAAATTATATTAATTAATGTTAATTAGGATAACTTAATTTGTTTTTACATATATTGAAGATACGATAGAATACATCTTTAACTTATTTCGGAGTTTATTAATGAGATTTATTTTTTTGTTCAGTTTGAGATATCATCCAATATCTCGTTTAATTTGATCCATTTGTTTTGTTTTTAAAAAGTTGCAAGTTAATTTTCTCATTGACCTATTAACAATATAAATCACGCTTAATGGAAATAACATTGTTCCTTGAATTATGCAGTGTTAATAAACATAACCTCTGCTTAAATCTTCTAATTACCTGGATATTTTTAAATAAAATTTAAAAAATACGACAATATTATTTTAAATTAACTAACGTAATTACCATTGCTGATATTTTGTTATTATTATTATTATTATTATTATTATTATAATGGACCTGATGAGCTATAGTATAATTTAGCATTTGGTAGATAGCAATAGCATGCAGAAATTAGAAAACACTTTTGATTCCGAACACAAAATTGTTTAGAATTATGATTGTATGACAACTTGTTTCTGTGTCTTGAACTCTAAGCCAGATAGAACTGATTGTTTTGGTGGTGCTACGTAAATAAAGAAATGAATAGAGAAGCATGCATGCATGTCATACAGTAGCAGAAGTTGCTATTATAGTCTGAGCCATTCCTCTCCATATATGTAGTCCCTGCCAAGGAAGGGCCAGGCTTCCTCAATGCTTAAAGCTTTTGACCATTCCACCCTCTCACTTCTGTTTGATCCTTTTCCCGAACACTCATACTCCCCAAACATTGCACTTCTGTCAAAACCACAAAACAAACAGTAATCAATTCACGGTATCAAACGGTCGATTAATAGAGTTGGTATGATTTAAATGAGAGTTGGTATGATACCCTTGGCTAGATGGATTGTCCCAATCACTCCATCCCAAAGGATTAATAATATCATCCATGTCACAGTAGGAATATACTGTTGTTGCATACTTCCCCCAAGCTCTCCCAAGAAAGATGCTACCAGTTCCCGTGATTCTGCAATCAACAAATGAAAACCCTGTGTCTTCATCTGCTGAATCCCTGTGATGAGCTGCAATTGCTCCCCAAAACTCAGCTACAGAGTATAGCACACACTCCTGGTGCCAGACACCAAAGTGTTAGAAAAAATAAATGAGACCATCTTTGAAGTAAAAGTGAAATATAAAAAGAAACCAAAGTGGTTATTTATTTACATGGAACAATGATTTTGCATTGCCGAATATAAAATCAACGGATCCTTGAATGTAACTTTGATAGAAATAATGGATTCCTGTGTTATCTAGGAGGGTGTCCTGCTCCCCCACAAGCCTAACTTGGTAGAATACAGCTTTATCACCATCTACACGCAATGCTACTGCTTGACGTTTATCTGCATCTTTATCTACCAAATTCTGAAAACACACAAATTAATAGACAGACATATTTGGACAGGGTTGAGTCAATGCATATTAATTCTCAGTTTAATTGCATATTTTATCACATGAGTTTTACAATTTCACAATTGTATATTTTATCAATTCTTTAGCTGACTATATATCATCATATATCAACTACTATTGTATCATTATTTATATGTCATATAATCATTTTATATCAATAGGTAATATATTATATCAGCAATCAATAATTAAAGATATCAAATATTCTATTAAATTCCTACAAAAAGAAGGAAAAAACGAAAAGGGTAGGTTAAGTTGGTGTTGATTACCTGAATTGTAATGGCAGTGGCGCAGAAGAAATCAGACTGTACCCACAGAGTTGCTGTTCTAATGGTGCCGAATTCTTGGCCGTCGGAGGCTTTGTCTGATGCCTTAGTACTGTTAGTGAGAATAGGTAGTATGGCATTGGCAATGTCCATTGAATTCAATGCGTTGCCATTGCCCATTATGTTAGGCTTACCTATAAATGAAATTAACGGCTTGCTTTTCGGCACATGCACTCTTTCTCTGCCATCAAAACATTAATTATTGCATATCTCTATTATTACAAAACATATAATCGTCCATGTCATTGATGAGATGAGATGCATGCTATTAGCAAACCAAACTATATTGCCAATTTGCCATCTTAAAATAGTGGTCCTTCCCTGTTCGATTGTATTACCTATTAATTAAGATAAATTTCACTTCCCACGAAACAAGTTTAAGAACATTCTCCTATATATTATTGACAACTAATTTTAAATATCTTGTTAAAAATGAGATAAAATTTTGAATTGACCTACTATATTAACTTCGCCATTTCACCATATTAAACATTTTTTTAATGTTTTTAATCCCCAAAGTTAATAGTATAAATTCAAAACTAACCAGCCGTAAATGACACTATAAAAATTTGGAGAGAGAAAAGTCATATCTCTAAAAAAAAAAAAAACTCGATCAAACACATTTAAATGGACTAAAGTTGAAACATACAAATTCTTCCACGTAGCATTTGATTCAAAGGAGAGAAGGGAAGAAATGGAAAAATATCAAAGATTAAAATATCAATACCATGGTTAATATATATATATATATAGAGAGGAGGAATCCACTTTCAAGAATAAATTTAAGTAGACTAATTTCACTCAATAATTTATATTATATATTAAATTTTAATTATTCAATCGTTAAATTAAAAGTTTTTAATACATAAATTAAATTTATAAATTTTTAAAAAATTAAAAATTTATTTGATAATTTATTTCAATAATTTAAATTGATAGATAATTATAAAAGTATTTTATACGTTAATTTAAATTTATATAATAAAGTATTATATAATTTTTAAATTTTTAAAAAATTTACAAATTTGATCTATATATTAAAAATGTTTAATTTAACAGTTAAATCATAAAAACTTAATGAAAACATAAATTATTGAATAAAATAAGTCTATCATAAATTACTCTTTAAAATAAGTAGATCTCTCTTCTTTCAACTAAATATTAAATATACTTTAAATAATTTAAACTATCTTCTCATATATATATAGTAGTATATCACATTTGTGCACACCATGTATATATCACTTTTCTTTTCTTTTTTAATTTTTTTTTTCAACTTGTTCATCTGGAAAGAGCTAGTGAACTAGGTAGCAATTGAAGAAAAAAAAACTGCATGTTAATACCAATAAATAGAATCAGGACGCTTAAAAAGCCGGAGAAATTTTATATGCATAAAATCTTGATGAAAATGTCTGTGAAACTAAATTCTTGTTACAGACCTGTATGTTCCAGGATAAATGAATATCTTCACCCTTTGTGTGTTGTTGTGGGGAACCATATCTACAGCTCCTTGAACAGTTGTTGAATCTCCATTACCACTTTGATCGACCACAATGACTCGACCACCAACGTCGGAATATGCTATACCATCTTCATCCACCATGAAGTCCTCCCACGTAATGAAGTTTCTAGCAACGATATCACCATGCACCACCTGAACACACTTCAACCACAAAACCAAATAAACCAAAACTGATAACCTCATCTTAGTCCCTAGGAAAGAACGCACTTGATGAAGAACTATGTAATGTGGCTGACTTAATTAATCTAATAATATTATTGAAGAATTTCAATTTCACGTAGCGAAAGAGAATAAGTCGCAAAGAATGGGAATGTAGAGATGGGTATTGAGTTTAACTGAAGGAGATTGAGCTGAATATAGTTGAACTCAAAGAAGAGAATCTAAAAATGAAACTCAAACGTGTGATTGTGATACCGTTTATGTTTATAAAGAACTCGGCAACGATAAGAGGTTGTAGCTTTCGTGGGCAATTAGAAGTCATTGGACTTTTTATTAATTATTATTATTATTAAAATAATTTCTATTGATTAGTTAGGATAAAATTTGAAGCCTATACACACTAGTATGTACAGTTACAGTAGGAAATTAATTCCTCTCGAGAGTTTTTTTTTTTCTCAGCAAAGTTTCCTTGATCTGCATATATTACAAGTAGTAATAATTGAAAAGATACACAATTATTCATGGTATAATATGAATACTTAATTTACACCAATACTAAAGTGATGAAAGAATAACCGTAATAACCATAACTTGTACAAGTTTAATTGTATAAACAAAAAATAAATTATATATATATATATATATATGTGATTATTATAAGTTCAGTTCTTAAAAAGTAGAGAGAAGTTAGACAGAAAGATTCTAGGGTCAGATAAATTTTATCATCTTTTGTTTTCACTCATTCTTTTTACACCATTTTTATGATTGATCGGAGTAAAGGAGTTGAAGATTCAAAGCTTTTGGAGTTAAGAATTTGAGTTTGAGGAAGTTGCACGACAACCTCAAAGACTTCAAGCTTTCTTCTTTTTCCCTTGATTTTCGGATGACTAGAGGTAAGGAAAGTTTGTGATTGATAAATTATTGAGTTGTATTACTTGTTTGTTGATTAAATGCATCAAGTGTTGGCTATTTGACTAAATTCAGAAGGGGTATGGAGTTTTTTGGGTTCTTGAAGGTGTTTTAAGGTGAATTTGATGATTCTTGAAAAACTTTGATTGCATGTATTGTGTTGTGTTATTTTGAGTTATCTATGGTATGTGTGTATATATATATATATATA